AATGTACAGCAAATTTTGTAAGAGATGCAGCCTAGCTCAGAAAATTGTTATTGAATATGTCAATGCTGATGTAATGAAATGATTTTTCCAAGTATGTGGTTATTAAATAAATAATTTAAAAAATAATAATAATTCTAGGGGGCTGGAGAGATGGGTCAGCAGTTAAGAGCCCTGACTGCTCTTGTGGAAGACCCAGGTTCGGATCCCAGAACCCACACGATGGCTAATTAAATTGTCCATAACTCCAGATAGATCCAGTTCCAGGGGATCTAACGCCCTCTTTTGGCAGCACTGCACAACAGGGGTGTATTTACATAAACAATGGCAAAACATTCATACACATAAATAAAAATAAAGAAACATGCTAAAAATAAATTTTGAGAGTGGAGATTCAGCCCAGCCGGGAAGTAGCTGTTTTCTGCCCTTAGCTCTGAAAAAAGAAAATAAAATGAAACACAAAATAACTAAGTAAAAATCATTTTATTTACTGTTATTATTTGTGGGGGCCCACATGTGCCACGGTACACGTGTGGAGGTGAGAGTAACTCTGAGGCGCTTGTTCTCTCCTTTCACCATGGGATCCAGAGGCAGACGCAGGTCGTCAGCTTGGAGAGCAAGCGCTTTCCCCTGCTGAGCCCTTTCACCAGCCCTGAGAACTGAACCTTTTTTTTTTTTTTGGTCTTTTTGAGACAGGGTCTCCTTGTGGCCCCCGCTGGCCTGTGCAGACCAGACTGGCCTTGAACTCACAGAGACCTGCCTGCCTCTGCCTCCCAAGTGCTGGGATTAAAGGCGTGGTGGTGCATGCCGGCTGATAACTGAATCTTTGAGACAAGATAATTGATGGAATTTTTAGGCATGCATTATTTTCTCAAAGTAAAAGATGACAAAGAGGCACAACAATCTCTACTGCTCGCCACATTCTGTTAATCAATCTGCTTGAAAAGAGCACACCAGAGTTCAAGCAAAAGCCTGAAACAGCAGCAGCACAGCAACAGCAGCGATGATGATGATGATGATGATGAAGGAAAGGAGCCTAAAGGCTCAGAACGTGAGCAGGGATCCAGTTCTGGCTTAAGGACTCCACTAGGCAGCCATGTGGCCTCCTCTACAGTGAGACGAGCGGCTGGCCACCTGGTGTTCTCTGATCCATCAGTGTTGTTCTGTTTTCTTTCCATTAAACAGATACGAGAGGCTCTGACTTCTCAACGAACTTCCTCCACTAAAAAAAACTGCTTTTCTGCCTACTGTGCTGGCGCATGCCTTCAATCCCAGCACTCAGAAGGAAGAGGAAGGCAGCTCTCTGTGAGTACCAGGCCAGGCCGGTCTACATAGAGAGTTCCAGGCCAACCAGGGCTTCTCAGTGAGACCTGCCTTAAAAACAACAAAAAAAGGGGCTGGAGAGATGGCTCAGCGGTTAAGAACACTGGTTGTTCTTGCAGAAGACCCGGGTTCAAATCCCAGCACCCACATGGCAGCTAACAACTGTCTGTAACTCCAGTTCCAGGGAATCCGACAGCCTCTTCTGTCTTCCGCAGGCATTGCATGACACAGATGCACTTACCTACATGCAGGCAATACACGCATACACATAAAATAAAAAATATTAAAAAAAAAAAAAAAAAAAAAACAAGGCTGGGCGTGGTGGTGCACGCCTTTAATTCCAGCACTTGGGAGGCAGACGCAGGTGGATCTCTGTGAGATGGAGGCCAGCCTGGTCTAAGAGTTTCAGGCCAGCTGAGGGTACAGGGAGACCCTGTCTCAAAAAGACCTCCCCCCCTCAAAAAATCCCAACAAACCCCAAATTTTTCCCACTTGGTGAGGGAGCCAAGCCAGGGTCTCATGCCTGAGGAGTGGTGGACAGCACTCTATCTCGGAGCTACACAAGCCCTTAAGTAGAAGACTCTGAATGACAAAAATAGCATCTCCCAGTGGATACACAGCAACTTGGGAACTTTCAAAGCATGTCCACACATGAAATCATGACAGATGTGTAATGCAGAAGTAGTACATGGGTAAGAACTGGCTTGAGACAGACATGACCTCCTTAGCGGGTCTGGAAGCCCAAATTTCTGAGTGTGGTATACCCATGTATATGTGTTCATGTGCATATGCATGCATGCATGTGTGGCCAGAGGTCACTGTCAGGTGCCCCCCCCCACCTTATTTTTTGAGACAGGCTCTAACTGAACTGGATTTCACCAAATCAGGGGAAACAAATGCCAAGAATCCTCCTGTCTCCACCTTCCCAGTCCTGGGGTTACAGCATATGCCAGCATGCCCTGCTTTTTATGTGGGTGTTGGGGATCCAAACTCAGGTCCTCAAGCCTATGTGGTAAGCACTTCAATGACTGACCCATTTCTCCAGCCCAATTGTCTCTGTTTTATATTTATTTATTTTAGTGTATATATGTTCATCCATGTACACATGTGTCATGATGAGCCTGTGGAGGTCAGAGAACAACTTGTGTTAGTTGGTTCTCTCCTTCCACTATGTGGGTCCTAGAGCTGGAACTCAGGTTGTTAGGCTTGCATGGCCAGACAGCAAGGGCTTTTACCCACTGAGACGTCATACCAGCTCTGAATTCAGTCTCTACAGTGAACACAAATCCTATAAAATGAGCTCATTCTCTTTGGGCCATGGAATGTTTCCAAGTCACTTGTCCTACCTTGATGCTTTTAATGTGAGAAGCCGCCTTCCCCAGAGCCTTTTCAGCAGATTTGTCCAAGAGAAACTCGATGACGGCGTCTTTGTTATAAAGTCTGTAAGAGTAGGAATTAGTTTATATTATGGCAACAAACTCCAGAGGAAGAACAAACCAAATAGGAGCCAAGTCATTCACATTTAATGAAAGTCATGGTCTGTACTGCTAGCCCTGTTTCAAACACAGCCAGAGAACACAGAGAAGCCACTTGTGCAAAATCAAGATGGCGGACTGCCAGGCTAAATGTGACCAGAGCAAGGGCTTCAAGAACTGGGAAAATTAATGCAAAAGTACCTATTTTCAACGTCCTTTAAGTAATGAAGATCAGAAGACTCAAAACCAATGGCCCACGTTTTTCAGTTTTAAGAACTGGCTAGAACGGAGCAGCAGCTCTCCCTTTACCAGCTTTAGACAGTCAAGCTCTCTCCAGCTTCCCCCTCCCCACTGCTCTCTCCTCCTGTCACATTTCCGCCCACTGCTTTCTCCACCGCCCCCACCTCCATCCCCACTGCTCTCTCCTTCCTACTCCCTTTGGCTTCCACCCCCACCCCCCACCTCCGTCCCCCCTTCACACTGCTCTCTCTACTGCACTCACACAGCTGCCTCTTGTTTCAGGGTTAGAAGGCAGCCAGGTTACTCCTGGCTCTTGAGTTTTCAAACCATGGATTAAGTAAACCAGGCTGATTAAGAGGAGGTAGAATTATTCTCAAGGACAGGGCAATCTTCCTCACAAATCTGCTTGAGAGTTTACAGTTGCTTGGCATGGTGGTGCACGCCTTTAATCCCAGTGCTAGGGAGGCAGAGGCAGGAAGACCTCTGTTGAGTTCAAGCCCAGCCTGGTAAACACAGCAAGTTCCAGGCCAGTCAGGGCTACATAGTGAGACCCTGTCTCAAAAAACAGAAAACAAAAAATAAAACAATTTTTCTTCAAAATTTCTGAATAAATTCACCTTGACCATACAAAGGAACCGTACCTGCCAAGCTCACAGGCAACTATTGGTCGTCTCAGGATTTCCTGGCTGAGAGCACAGTAGTTCCACTGGGCCACTAATTCAGCATCTTTGTCAACCTGAAAGAAAGCAGAGTCCCCCAACTCATTTCAGCACTGAAAGACACACGGGTCACAGTCTTCCATGTCATAACTTATCGACCATCACACTATGAGGGGTTAGGATGGAACGGCAGTGACTGTAGCCCCAGGACTTGACAATCTGAGGCAGGAGGATCAGCAGTGAGGCCAGCTGGAGTAGTTCAGCACGATGCTGCTGCAAAAAGAAAGCAACGAGGCTGAGCAGGTGGCTCAGTGGGTAAAGGGGCTTGCTGCCAAGCCTGACAGCCTGAGTTTGTTCCCTAAGACCACACAATGGAAGGAGAGAACGGATTCCTGCAAGATGTCCTCTGACCTCTACTTATGCTATGGCACATGTCCTGCCACATGTTGGCATGGTCAGAGGGCATCCTTCATCCTCTTGCATTTGTTCATCATTTTCCACACATGCTCACTGGGCATCTATTATGTATAGATACATCACAGAAGCTACAGAGTGCAGACACATAAGGACCCTGTCCAAATGGGCGAGATATACAACAAACAGAGTGACAGGCACCATAAAGGAAAGTAAAGCCATAGAGAAGGCTAGAGTGACTGGAAGCAAAGAGTTTCAACGCAGCAGATTGTTGACTACTGGGAGACGAATGGGAACAAAGGAGCCAGGTACGTCAGCGCACAGTAATCCCAGGACTCAGGTGGCTGGGGCAGGAGGATACAGGCTTGGGACAAGCCTGGGCTACCTAACAGCAAAACCTTGTTTCAAACCACCCTACCCCATCCCCCAATAAAGAAATCAATGAAGAAAGTAATGATGTCACTATCAGGGGAGAATGTTCAGGTTGACGGAACAAGGCCGCCGTGCCTAGAAACAAAGGAATGAGCTGAAGAGAGGGAGAACGACAGGCAGGGTCTGTTCACACAGACCCACCAGAGTTTATTAGGCTGTAATGGGAAGCCTCCAGAGTGTCTCAAATACAATCCTGGTTGAGGTTCACTTCTCCTGAAACATTCTCTGACTGGCGAATCAGTATAAATAGTGCCAGGGCCAGTATTAGGGGATTTACATGCTTTATGCTATTAAAAAGTCATTACTGGGGGCTGGAGAGATGGCTCAGCGGTTAAGAGCACCTGGCTGTTCTTGCAGAAGACTCAGGTTCGAATTCCAGCACCCACATGGCAGCTAACAACTGTCTGTAACTCCAGTTCCAGAGGATCCTACAGACTCTTCTGTCCTCTGTGGGCATTGCACGACACAGGTGCACTAACCTACATACAGGTAACACACGCATACACATAAAATAAAAATAAATAAAGAATTTAAAAAGTCATTACTAAGTCCGGCATGGTGGTGGCATGCTTTTAATTCCAGCACTCGGGAGGCAGAGGCAGGCAGATCTCTGTGAGTTCAAGGTCGGCTGGGGCTAAAGGGAAACCCTATCTGAAAAAGACCAAAAATAAATAAATAAAAATAAAGTCATTACTAATCCTAGGTCGGCAATCCCACATAACTGGATGGAACTCTTGGATCAGTACCTGCAAGCTGTATTGGCTCTGGTCACGTTAACTTTCCTGGCCTCGATTTCCCTGTCATTAGCATGAAAATTATTCTATACAATTTGCTCCACTTGTTGTGAGAATTAGGGATAGTTTATTCATCCATTTATTCAAAATATTCACTGCGCAGAAACCGTGTTCGTTCTGGAGGGGAAAAGTGGGCATCCTCGACCACCAGGTGCTCCCCGTTAGGGTGCTGTCACTGGGTGGGTCAGGGGACGGCCGGGAAGACGTCTTGGAGGAAATGTAGCTAATGCCCCCGGCGCTCAGGCAGGATACCGATGTGGTCAGGACTACTGCAGACATGGTCTCAATCCCGGCTGGCCACTCACTAGCCCTGCAGCCCTCGCCTTTGGGGCCTCAAGTGGGGTGACAGCACGTATCAACACGGCTGTCGTGAGGTTGCGAGGATGCCCAACTTAACCGCACTGCCCTGTGACTGCAAACAGTAAGCGCTCCGTAAGTGCCAGCGGCCGACGCTGTTCACCCGCCGCCCGCGGCCCCCGCTGACCTTCTCCACCTTCTTCGGCCCCTTCACTAGCTCGTGCCTCTTGGGGATCGTTCCTCCGTCGCAACCCATCGCAAGGCCGGATTCAGACCCCGCAGCAAAAGCTTGAAGCTACCGCTTCCGGAGTCTCTGTCGGGGGCGGAAATCCTAGCCACTTCCGGCGCGCAGCAATGACGCGATCGGGCGGGGCCCCTGAGCGGGGCGGGGCCACCAAGCGAGGCCGAGCCCAGGGCAGGTTGTTTTGGGAGCCGTCCCGGAGTTGGGCGTGGCTTTGGGTCCTGCCGACTTCGGCCTCTGGGTAGCCCTTCCTCTGGGTGGTTCCTGCATCTGGGTCTGGTCGGAATGAGAGGATTGGGGCGGGGGCGGGGGAGGGGTGTACTCAGGGCGCTTGGCCCCGCCCACCTTAGCCTCTTGCATCCCTGCACTGAACAAGGGCAAGCTTTGGTGTCAGACTATGGATGAGATGGACCGAGCCAGCATTGATGTATTCTGTTCTTATAATTATTTATTTTTACATGTATGAGTGTTTTGCCTGTGTATGTGTGAGCGCACTACACAGAGGAGGGCATCGGATCCCCTGGAACTGGAGTTACAGATGATTGTTAGCTGCCCTGTGGGTGCTGGGAAAGGAACCTGGGTCCTCTGCACGACCAGCCAGTGCTCTTAACCACTGCGCCAGCCCTCCAGCCCTAGTATTGATGTATTTTATATCCAGACCTTAAAAAACAAACAAAACCAGGGTCTCCTTGTAGTCCCAGCTAGCCTGGAACTCGTTATGTAGACCAGATTCACCTGCCTCTGCCTCCTGAGTGGCATACACCGCCACGCTCAGCTATATTCAGACAATTTTTTAAAATGGTTTTTTGAAACAGGATTTCCCTGTAGCCCCAGCTGGCCTGGAACTCACTATGTAGACCAGGCTGGTCTTGAACTCACAGAGATCTACCTGCCTCTGCCTCCCAAGTGCTGGGACCACAGGTGTGTGTGCCACCACGCCTGGCTCAGACTTTATTTTCAAAGAAAAGAATTTTAAGTGAGTGCGAGCATCTGAATGTATGTATGTATGTGCACCATGTGTACGCAGGAGATTTCAGAGTCCAGAAGGCATTGGATCTCCTGGAGCTGTAGTTACAGGCAGTTGTTAGCCACTCTACAGCCTCCCCCCGATACCCCCAATGTGGATGCTGGGAACTGAACCCAGATCCTCTACAAGAGCAACAAGAGCTCTTAACCACTGAGCCATCTCTCCAGCCCCTGTATCCAAACTTTTTAAGGCAAAACCTGGAGTTCCAAAATTCCCAACAGGTCAGCCTCCCATCCCAACACTCTGAGTAAAGAGTTTAGTGATGTTGAAAAGGAGAAAGGAAATTTTATTGGTTGTAGACACTTTGGGACAGGAATAAACAAGGGGGCAGGTGACCCCCAAATCTGTCCTCTGGGTTTTGATATGAGCTGTAGGCTTAAAGGAACAACAAGGACAAGAGATAGGCATAAGCAAGCAGTCCTGGGCTAACTGTGGTCTCCTTGATTACGGTCTCAGCACCAGTCCTGGTCCTTACCTGGGGTAGGGCTCTGTCCTTTCAGATTCGGCTGTTCCGGAGTCCAAAGTGTCATAGGCCCAGAGCAATGGCATATCTGTCCCTTCTGCCTTGTAGTGGGATGAGATTTATTACAGATACCCCATGAGTGATGAACATGTGGACCTGAAGAGGTAAGCAGGTGACCCACTGTAAAGGGGACAGACACAAAATAAAGGCGCTTGACAAGATGCCAGTCTTTATCCAGTCTTTGTGGCCTGAGTGAAGAGTCTGGGCTTTTTAGCAAAAGCAGCTTCTCAGTGCCTGTTTCAGAAGGAAAAGACATCTTTGTTGAACTCCAACTCTGACCTAAGCACCCTTCACAAATCTGTTATGTTGTAGCCGACTCTGGGTGATCTTCTATGGTGGGGACATTTTGATACTGCCATGCAAGAAGTTTGTGGGACATTTATGCGTATCCTTCACAGTCTCCTGAAGCCTATGCCTAAAAGTCTTATTGAGAATCATATAATTAACACAGGATACATTTGTTCTTATGAAAGATAGGCTGCTGTCTGCATGCTCTTTCCAAGAGACAGACTAAACTATATCATAAGAAAACAAACCCCTGTAAAACTGCTGAAACCCACAATTTCGCAGTCGTCTCTGTTTATTCCTTTAATCGTTGCATGTACTAGGGGAAAGTTCCCCCCTTGCCAATGAGGTAGACTTTCATGAGTGGAAGTTGAAAAAACATTCACTTGAAAATAGTCACCAATTTAGAAAATAATGTGGATGTGAAAATATCAAGGACTCGTCTGTTATGTAATTAATGGGGATTTAAAAACACAAACCCTGGGACTGGAGAGATGGCTCAATGGTTAAGAGCACTGACTGCTCTTGCAGAGGACCTGGGTTCAGTTCCCAGATGGCGTCTAACAACCATCTGTAACTCTAGTTCCAGGGGATCCAACGCCCTTTTCTGACCTCCACAGGTGTTGCACGACATGGGTACACTTATATACATGCAGGCAATATACTCATACACATAAAATAAAATATTAAAAAATATAAACCCTTTATCAGTCGGTCTCTTGTGTGAGGCTCTGGATTGAAACATCATTTGTAAAAGTAAGAAGAGAGTGCAGAAGACCAGGAAACTAAGGAAAGTTAGAAGACTCACTAGCTCCCATTTACATAAGCAGTGAATAGTTGCTAGGACAGGAGACTCTCCATAGAGTTGCCTGCAAGTCACACAGGGAGCTTTAGGGAAGTGGTTTTAGTAAGTTCATCACCCATGCTGGAGTGGGCTTTCCAGGGATGCAGCTGGCCTTGAGTCACCCATGCTCCTAAAGGTAACTGCAGTAAACTCAGTGCCTCACCAAGTTGGATGTGGGTGGAATAGTTTCTTCAGCATGTCATCGGTGCTCTACCTGGAGTGAATGAATGTCTGGTCATGTTTTCCCAGGAAAAGTCACTCATTTATTTAGTGGCAGTTGGAACTGTAATCCTTATGAGGGTGTAAACTGTGTTATCCCCTTTTTATCTTTGTGTCTGGAAAACTCTGGCATGCTCAACATATAATCTCTTCAATAAATGAAAAGTTCAGACTCATTCAGAGAAAAGTGATAATCCCAGGTTTGTCAGACCCTAAAACTGTCAGAACTACAGAATGCTTGGTATATGATGACTCTCTTGCACTAAGTGACTTGATGGAAGTGTGATGTGACTTCTAGCAGCCTAAGGCTGTGTCCCTACTCTGACCCCAGCCTGCACTAAATGCTGGCCAGGGACAGCTCAGTAATGCTGCGTCAGCTGTGCTTGGACTAAAGTCCTGGATTTCTCTCCTCCCCCTGACTTCCTCTTTTAGATGGATGGTCTCCAGGCTGCTTTACACCTCAAATTACACCAAGCTTAAAGTTTTGTCTGGTTCACTGTCATGATCTGTAGCAATGTTTTCAGTTGGGTCCTGTCTACCATGCCGGGCATTGTGTGCCACTGGGTTTTCCCAGCCACCCGGAAAGCAGGTGTCTGCTTCCTCTTTCACAGTCTTCAATGAAGAAACAAGTAAGGTGTTCTAGTTTGCTTCTCTATTGCAAGGAAAGGGTTTATTTTGTCTTACATCTTCCGGGGCACAGTTCATCAGGGAGTCCAAGGTAGGAACTCAGGGCTGGAACCTGGAGGCAGGAGCTGAAGCACAGCCCATGGAGGAACACTGCTTACTGGATTGCTCCCCTGCCCCTGCTCAGCCTGCTTTCTTATACAAGACAGAACAATCTGTTCAGGGGTAGCACCGTTCACAGTGGGTTGGGCCCTTCCACATCACTCAACAATCAAGAAGATGCCCCACAGAGATGGCCACAGGCCAGTCCAAAGGAAGAAATTCCTCAGTTGAGGCTCCCTCTACCCAGGTGTGTCAACTTGACAAATAAAGCTATGGAGAACATAAGGCTACTTCCTTTCGGGCTGACAAGATGGCTCAGTGTGCAAAGGCACTTGTTGCCAAACCTGATAACCCTGAGTTTGATCCCCAGGATCCATATAATGGAAGGAGAGAACTGACTTCTACAAGTTGTCCTCTGACCGCCACATGGATGCACAACACACAAAATAAATAAAAGGTAGTTTTTTTTGGTCTTTTTGAGACAGGGTCTCCCTGTAGCCCCAGTTGGCCTGGAACTTGTTATAGAGACCAGGCTGGCAGAACTCCAAGAAATCTGCCTGCCTCTGCCTCCCAAATGCTGGGACTAAAGGTAAGCACCACCACACCCTACTACAAAAGGTTATTTTAAAAAAGTATTCCAAGGGGGCTGGAGAGATGGCTCAGCAGTTAAGAATATTGTTCTTGCAGAAGACCCGGGTTCAAATCCCAGCACCAACATAGCAGCTAACAACTGTCCATAACTCCAGTTCCAGGGGATCCAACAGTCTCTTCTGTTCTCCTCTGGGCATTGCACAACACGGGTGCACTTAACCTACATGAAGGCAATACACACATACACATAAAATAAAAATAATAAATAAAATATTTTTTAAAGTATTTCAAGGATTCTTAGAGTCAGCTTTGTCCACATTAATAGGTAAGTTTGTAGAGAAAGTCAAGAATGAAGTGATAAAGAGAAAGAACATCGCCTATCATAGAACCAGGGTTTCTCTACCTTTTGGAGGTGTTAGAGCTGTTGGAGATTGGATGAAAACTGTGAAATGTTTCATGCAGGTGGCACGTGTTGTTATGGATCTTGGGACCACCAGGAAAGACTACCCAGATTCAAAAAGTTCCAAATCAGCCGAGTTAAGCTTTTATAATTTTATTAGAATTTTAAAGAAAAAGAAATCTTTGCTGGGCTTGGTGGTGCACGCCTTTAATCCCAGCACTCGGGAGGCAGAGGCAGGTGCATCTCTGTGAGTTCAAGGCCAGCCTGGTCTACAAAGTGAGTTCCAGGCCAGCTGGGAATACAGGGAGACCTGTCTCAAAAAAAGACGAAAAGAAAAAAAAAAGAGAGAAAAAGAAAAAGAAATCCTCAAGGAAAATGTGCTGATAATCTTGACAGCTGCCTTGAGGAGGTGAATGGTGGGAAGAAGGAAAGAAAGCCATGAAGGCCGGCAGGCTTAGAGCCTGCGTGGAGGTCAGACACGT